AGAGTTTTTAAAAAAAATGGAACTGAGAGAGAGAGAGAGAGAGAGAGAGAGAGAGAGAGAGAGAGAGAGAGAGAGAGAGAGAGAGTAAAGTATGAGGTGTTTTCTGTCTCAGTCCTTGGAGGTTAAAATCTGGAGAAAGTTTGTGTTGTTGTTTCACTCTTCATCTGGGACAGTTCTTTCTATAGTTTCTCAACCTTCCCAATGCTGTGATCTGTTAATACAGTTCCTTATGTTGTGGTGACTCCCCCAACTATAAAATTATTTTTGTTGCTACTTCATGACTGTAATTTTGTTCTGTTGTGAATCACCTGTGTTTTCTGATGGTCTTAGGTGATCCCTGTGAAAGGGTCATTCTAACCCCCAAAGGGTTTGCAATCCACAGGTTGAGAACCCCTGCTACTGCTGATCTGCAAGGAACTCATTCAAAAACCATCCCAGTCTGTAAAGTGATGACAACTGCTCTCACTCTGTTGCCTGCAATATTATGATTAACAGTAGTTCAATAAATTTTATTTGTGAGTGTCAATTGTACAGAGTGAGGGGTTTTCTTATGACCTATCCATTCATGAATATACTACATTGGATCACATTCACTTCTTTATTTCTCTTACTCTTAGACCCCTTCCTGTTTCACAGCTCATAGACCCTTTGATATTTATGCTTTCCTCACACCCCAGATTCTAACTCTGGGGAAAAAAACCCACATGATATGTGTCTTCATGGGACCTCTGATTTTCTTTAACTCAATGCCTTTTTGATTGTGATGTAGTTGGAGAAAGAGCAAAGATGTAACCAAAACTTTATTGTGATATTCCCAGTTGGCCAGCTTGTTTTCTAACTTTGGATGATAGAAACAAGACATTCCCCTAGAATGATGCTTTAGATGTGATGTGAGAATTTGGAGAGTCATAAGAGATTTACTGAGTAAAGGCACTTGATCTATCTCTATGGTATGTGTAGTATCTAGTGTGAACCATTCATGATGATGCCATTTGTCAGCTCCTGGCTCTTTCCCTGTAGATACTCATTGGGGACAGTGGTGTTGTTGGCTAAACTCTTCCTTATTGTCAGCAACATTGACAGCTCTGAGGAGCTGAGCTGCTAAGCTGAGGTTGACCTTGTGCTCCTGTACTTTCTGAAGAACAGCTGGTGGCTGATTCAGAGAGTTTAAATCTTTCCTTTCCCTTGTCATCCTTGTCTTCCTCCTCTACTTGTAAAACTAGATGCCATTTGAAGTTTCTAATCATTTGATTAATACAAGGCAACCCTACCAATGTTACTTTAAATGTTGAATACATAGTTATCCAGCCCTATTGATTGTATGAAGAGGTGAAGGGACAGAAATGGGGATAGTCTATAAACGTATTGACAGTGTCTTCTGTGACTAATGAATGTTAGCATTTGTCTTAACAGAGAACAATGTTGCTGTCTTCTCTGTACAATTTGGTATATGTAGGAGAAGATGGTGGACAGGTAGACTGGGTGAAGAACTTATAGAAAAATGTCTACAGAAGAAAATTTTGAAATACTGTCTTCCAAAGTTACTAAATTTACCTGAAAAGTTAGTAAGTAAAATCCAACATGTGAGTCTGAGCTAACTTCATATCCCCCTGCCTCAGATTTCATACTTTTAATGCTCTGATTGCCCCTTCCTAATTTACTCTTCACTATTTGTATGTGGTGACTGAGTCTAGTCTTCTTGTTCTGCACCCTAGAAAGCACCACTTGGGACCACACAGGTGAGGCCCGCTACATACATTTGAATCAATGCTTGCGATATGTGTTCAATTCTCCCCTTTTCCTTTATATGATGATTAAGAGTATGATTTATAAAAAAATAAAAAGGCTTCCAGGTGGTGGTGGCACACACCTTTAATCCCAGTGCTCAGGAGACAGAGGCAGGAGGATCTATGACTTCTAGGACAGCCTGGTCTACAAAGCGAGTTCCAGGACAGCAAGAACTGTTATACAGAGAAATTCTGTCTCAAAACAAACCACCCACCCACCCACCCACCCAACTAACCAATAATGAAAAGGCTGTAGCATACATCTTGTGGGAAGCAAAGAAAAACAGCACTGGACAGACTAGATGCCACTCTGACCAGAATCTGTCCAGGGAGAGTAGCCCCATTCCCAGTGGGAAGATGACAGGTACCAAAAGCAGAGAATGTAGATCAAATCTGAGATTCTCCAGGGGGAAAGAAAGATAAAAGAGAAAATTTTATGCTGAGAGGAATCACGGATGGACCAATGTTGTTAGCACTTACTCTGAGAGACAGGTATTATTTCTCCATGCTTCTAGAAAAAATAATTAAATCTATGGTAAATAGAATACTCTGACCACAGGGCTTGTTAAAGGGAGAACTTGGACAAGAATGAAGCTTCTTTTGCTTCTCTTCTTCTTTCTAACAAACCTGTAAATGTCTGAGGAAAGTAAAAACAATAACAACAACAACAACAAGAACAACAAAATACCCAACCCCACCCCTCAAAAATGGAAATGGGTTTAAACACAGCAAAATAACAATGAATTAAAGAAGGACAAATAACACAAAAACTTGAGTTTAAGACAAAAGGATGGTTGTGACACACAAAGAGGTATGGTCTCTACTTAAGAAAGAACTTTAACAACCTGTTGGATAATCCCCCAACTTTATAGCTGCCCCAATTACTGGAACCAAGAAGAAAGGAAAGACCTCTGAGTCACAGGATTCAATCCAGTGATGATAGCCTGGATGGAATATTTCCTACTTTGCAGAGTCCCCATCCAGCCTGTTATGGATGGATTTGCATTTATGTTAGGAAATTGTTGGACCTGCCCATTATAGCAGATCCACTTCCCAATGGGTGAGGCAAGCAGTCCTATAAATAGAGTCTCAATGTTTGGTTGCAGTATTCTTGGCACTCAAGCACTGGTCTACTCCGGAGAACCTGGTGAGTCTAATTTCTTGAGTTCTTGAGAGGGTCTGCCTTTTGGGTATTCTCATGTGATGAGTTTAATTTAAACACAGTAAGCTTGGTGAGTCCAAACTGATCATGGGTTAAATGTGAGTGTAGATGCAAATTTAGGAATGGAGGACAATCATGTACTGTGCTAGCTTGACTTGTGTTTGTTTGAGCATAATTTGATTTCTACATGGAAAAGCAAGAAAATCAAGGAAGTTTTGTTTTGAGATGAGAACAAAACAAAACATGCATTTTTCTTTTATCCATATCTTGATGGAATACCTTTCAAAGGCTTATGTTGCAAGCAGGTGAGAGACCCACTTATTCTTTCTTTAAATTTCTTTATTTGTGTTGCTCAGTCATTCTACTTGGAATACACTAGTGTTAGATGGGTACTGTTTATAAGAATGCCAAGGTTATGAGGATCTTCTCTTCACATAAATAATATTACCCAATGATGTGGAACAGAAATACGTTCTTAGGAAAAATGATGTGAGATTAAAAAAAAAGATTGGCTAAAGCTATTGAAAAAAAAAAAAAACTTAGGTAGAAGAGGAAACCCAGGACATCCTAAAATGAGAGTGGGAGATTTTCATGTACACACAGGTACACAGGAAGAGATGCAAAGGCTCTACAGTCCCACAAGCCTAGTTTCATTCTCTGCGGGGATCTCTTGTGAAAACTGTCATGTAATGTCTTTCAGATCCTGAGACTTCAGCATCATGTCTTACCAACAACAACAGTGCAAGCAGCCCTGCCAGCCACCTCCTGTGTGCCCACCCCCTAAGTGCCCAGAGCCTTGTCCTCCTCCACAGTGCCCTGAGCCTTGTCCTCCCCCAAAGTGCCCTGAGCCCTGCCCCCCTCAGCCATGGCAGCCCAAGTGTCCTCCTGTGCAGCCTCCTCCATCCTGCCAGCAGAAGTGCCCACCCAAGAGCAAGTGAGACTTCAGGAGTCACCAGAAACCGGGGAAGTGAAGAAAATCTGGTTCGCCTACTTCCATAGAAACGGCCCCATCTTCCTTTCCCAAGCTTGTCGTTGTTCGTTACAGAAGAATCTTTTCCACTCTTCACCCTCCATGTGCCTCTGATGACCCCTGATAGAGAAGGCATTTCTCTGAGGCTGTTTTCCTGATCTTCTCAAGGGGCTGCTAAGAATGGTTCTTCCTCAGTGTTTCAGTGTCCCAGATTCTCAGAGGGAAGAACAGCAGTTCACCACCCTGTGCCCTCGGAGGAGCCTTCCCAGTCTGCCTGTCACCTGGACAGGGCAGTTGTCAGTTGCCACTGTTGTTTCAATTCTTGAATAAAGTACCTTTTTGGTGATGGTCTAATAAATACGTTTTTGTTGCAAAAATGATTTTTTAACATTGTATTACTATTTTGGAGTATTTCCAACTTTTGGGGGAGGAATTTTAAAGTTTAATTCAATGCTGTCTGAATTCAGCCATATAAAAGTCTAATTCAGTATTATTTCAAATTTATGTTCTTGACCATTTAATTGTTTTGAGGACCGAATTACTTAACTTCTTAAGATGTTTTCTTTTTGTACAAAGCGGAAACCTCTATCATCCATCTGTCATCTACCTATAATCTATTCAACTATTATATGTTATTAATGTGCATCTTAGCACACAATTAGATCATCACCTGTTGTGTAGTCAGTGTCAGAACTCAATGCACGATGCAGAGCCCAGTGGTTGTTTGTGGACTAGCAGAAGCAGTTTAACATAATTGTCAACACTGCCACTGTGTGACACTCTCATAACTGCTCATTAAATGTTATTTTAAAACTACATTATTATTTTCTCACGGCCTCTTTAATAGTCAGTTCACCCCATTTCCTATGTAATCCTGAAGAAAATGGGCTTTGTGGAATGTATGAAGTTTCCTGTATAAAATGATAATAATCCTTAAAAATAGGCTGGATAGAAGAAAGGGAGAGAAAAGGGTATTTAGAGGTCAAATTGCTTCCTCTCTGGCCATTCTTCCTACTTGAGATCTCAAAAACTTCTGTATGTTACCATTTTCCCCATTCTTCCCTTCTGGAAGGCAGACTTTCATAGAGTAGAATGTTTAAAGGCAGCTGAATCCACAGGGGATGAGGATATTGCTGTGGATGCTCAAGAAAACACCCATTAGTCCAAGTTCTGAGATCAACAAATGACTGATGTTTCATTACAAAGGAACCTCCAATTGAGCTTCTGGCACTGACATGAACCTGGCAGAGCTTTAGGCAAAAACCTTATTTTTACAAAGACTTGAAGTTAAATAATTATGTATGTGGGTATAAGGATGTAGAAAGATCCCTTTTTAGTACTCAAGTAAGCAAAGGCTACATAAATTGGATTCCAATTTCCACATCTCTCGTAGTTTTCTATCACTGAGGTAAGACAAGAGCAGCTTCACACAGCATGGGAAATTGCTGTGTTTTCTCTAAGTATCATCAAAGCACAGTCTCCAGGTTTTCTAAGCTTGTGTTGGAGATCGGACCTGAAACAAAGGACATTTCTTGTGGGATGACACCTTTGCCTCCAATACTTGTATGTTGAGATTCTATCCCCCAGAACTCTAGAAAGCACCTGCACTTAGAGGTGTGGTCTTCAGAGAGCAGGCTAATGTAACCTGAGGTCTTATGGGCAGGTCTTCCTCTTGCTGGACTGGTGTCCTCCTGAGAAGGGTAAGGCACAGAGAGACATGGGCCACACAAGGGAGAGACAAGGGGAAGAAGGCCATCTCTGGGCCACACTGCAGAAGAGAACATCTACAGCAAGCCCTTACGTGTGTGTCCTTCAGAGCTGTGAGAAACTAATCTCGGCTCTTCGAGCTGCTCAGCCTGCAGAGCATCTTACTGGAGCTCAGGCCAGCAAATCCAGCAGAGCTATGGAAGACAGTAAGTTCTGAAACGGGAACTGAAATACTTCCATCCAAGTTCTCACCTCTAATCTGTCCCACAGTACAAAGGCTGAACTGATTCTTTCCACTGTTGCTTCAGGTGGAGAGGGAGGAGCAAAAGGCTCAAGAGAGCAGCGCCGGGCTCCCTTGCAGGGACTGTGTCCTGCATTGGCACGTGGCTTTCCTTTCCGGGATTTCGAGTGCAGACTTCTCTCTGTGCAGGCCACAGAACACAGATATCTTGGTAGTCAGTTATAAAGTTCTTTGGTGGTGTTTGGGGATCCCTCTGCAAGAGAGAGAGGAAGGACTGTAGGAGCCAGATGGCCAAAGACATCAGGGGAACACAGCCCACAGAATCAACTAAGTAGGGTTCACAGGGGCTCACAGAGACTGAAGCAACAATCACAGAGCATGCATGGGTCTATGCTAGGTCCTCTGCATTTATGCTATAGTTATGTAACTTGGTGTTTTTGTGGGACTCCTAACAGTGGGAGTGAGGTCTGTCTCTGACTCTTTTGCCTGCTCTTGGGACACTTTTCCTCCTACTGGGTTGCCTAAACCATCCTTGATATGAGGGTTTTTGTCTAGTGTTATGGTAAGTTGTTATACCATATTCGTTTGATATCCCTGGGAATTCTGCTTTATTCTGAAGGGAAACAGAGAAGCGGATCTGGGGAGAGGGGAGGGGAGGGGAGGGGAGGGGGGAGGACTGAGAGGAGTGGAGGCATTGGAAACCATGGTTGGGAAGTAATGAATGAGATAAGGAAAAAAATTCCTTTGGGTTTATGTCCAGGAGTGTCAAGCCTGAGTCATAGGTTGCTTCTTATTGCTGCCTTTTGAGGACTTTGCGCAATGATTTTCAATGTGATCGCACCAGTTTGCACAGCCACCAACAGTGAATAATTTTATTCCTGTCCACACTAGCACTTTTTTTTTGTTTTGTTTTTGTTTTTTTGAGACAGGGTTTCTCTGCGTAGCTTTGCGCCTTTCCTGGAGCTCACTTGGTAGCCCAGGCTGGCCTCAAACTCACAGAGATCCGCCTGGCTCTGCCTCCCGAGTGCTGCGATTAAAGGCGTGCGCCACCACTGCCCGGCTTGCACTTTTTGTCACTGACCTTTTTGGTAGTCATTCTGACTAGAGTGACGTGGAATCTCAAAGTAATTTTAATTTGCATTTCCCATATGATTAAGGATGCTAAACCTTTAAAGGTGTTTTGTCAGCCATTACTATTCCTTTCTTTGAAAATTTTTGGCCTTTAGCTTGTTTACTGATTTGGTTGTCTTGGTTTATTAATATTTTATTTTTAATTTTCTTTTAAAATTATGTTTTTAATTGTAATAGAATCACACCACTTCCCATATCCCTTACTTCCTCCAGATGTCCCCAGCAGCATTCTTTAGAATACCTCCCATGTCTGCCCTATTCTTAAATTAATAACTTCTTTTTCATTTTCATTGTTGTGTGTATGTGTGTGTGTGTATGTATATGTGTATGTTGTATGTTTGTGTTTATGTGTGTATGTTTGTATGTTGTGTGTGTGTATATGTTTGTGTGTGTGGTGTGTGTACAACTACATATCACTAGTTGACTCTTGTTCTTTGTCTCAGTTGGAATCCCATGAAATATTCCTTGTCTCCTTAACATGTCCATTGATATTCTGTTGTTCAATCCTGTTTGTGCAGCCATTTCCAGGAGAGAATGTTTTACTGCATAGTTTCCGGTATTCTGGCTCTGACAATATTTCAGCCCCCTCTCCAGTGATGTTTCCTGAACTATAGATCCAGGAGTTAAGCTGTATTGATTGGTGTTGGGTTCCCCACAATCTGTTGATTTCTGTGTTGTGTCCAATTTTGGTTTTCTGTAAAAAGAGGCTTCTTTGATGATGGGTGGTAGCCACAAATGTTTGTGGGTGTAAGAATGAAATTTAGTATGTAGTTAAGATCCATGCTTGCCCAGTAAAGTGACAGTGGTAAAATTATTCTAAGTAGATTGTGTTCTTTAGTAAAACTACGTCAGTAGCCCCAGAAGCTGGCTAGACTTCCAGTATCAGCCATGAATTCCTTCTTTTTGAGCGAGAACTATGTCCATTTAGACAGTTGTTGTGTGCTCCAAACATGTGGGTGCCACTGATTGCATCTTTATTCATATCTGTCTATGCTGGTGATCTTCGTGATTCACAGGTGGTGCAGGTGTGGGGGGCTGTTGAATTGTCAGGTTTCATAGTATTTCACGGAGCCATGAAAGGTAGACTGTAGGAAAGAGGATTTCAGGTTAGAAACAGCTGGAGACATGAGAGTATTGTGTCCACAGTATGTGTCTGTCTGTCTGTCTCTCTCTCATACACACACACACACACACACACACACACACACGCACGCACGCACGCACGCACGCACGCACGCACGCACGCACGCAAGCGCGCGTGTGTGTACAGTACAAACTAATCTGATTCCTTGAGGTTCTATAAAAATCCTTGGTGTTGTTTGTCCCTTGTTCCTCCTTCCCCTTTTATACTGACCTCCCTCTCTCTTCTCCAGTCGATGATACTTCCTTATTATTCCATTAATCATGTGTATCTGTATGTGTCTGTGTGTGGTTTCAGGCATATGAGTGCAGTTCCTATCTATGCCAGAAGACGGTACCAGATTCCTTTGATGGAGACAAGGAAGTTGCCATCTGGTAGATGGGAGGTGACTTTAGATGCCTTACAGGAGCAGTAAAATGCTCTTAACCACTGAGCCATCTCTCCAGTCACTTGAGGTTTTTTCTTTTGTTGTTGTTGCTTTTTTTCTCTGTGTATTTTAGATAATAATCCCTCAGTGGATATTGTAGGCATATCTAGCAACAAACTCCCTTTGCTATGTCTCATGTTATTGTAGGTTTAGTTCTAGGAACTTAAAGTTTTATCCCTTGCTTTGATCTTTAATCATTTAAAAGTGAATTTTTCAATCCTCATGTGTTTGTATAATTTTAAAATATTCCTCTTCCTGTTGGTTTCTATTTTTTCCATTATGGCATGATAAAACACAGAAAGTAACTTTCATGTTTGTTAGGTTTGGCTCTGTGTCCTAAAATATGATGTATCTTAGGAACATTATACAGGTTCCTAATAAGACCATACATTTTGCAGTTGGTGTGTAGCTTATTCTGTAGATGTTGGTCACACAATTGAGATCTATTACACAGTTGAATTCTGAATGATTTTTATTGTTGCTCCTTTTGTGTTTTGGTCTGGAAGATTATCTGTGGGTGACAGTGAATATACAAGAGACTTATTCTTGTATCTGGGTGAATCTCTCTCTTCATGTCTATCAGTGCTTATTTAATGAAATTTTGTGAACTAACACTCAGTACATATAATTACAGCTGCATCTTCTCAGTGGATTGTTTCCTTTATTTACTAGTAGTGATACTCCTTAGCTCCTCTATGTTTGGATTTAGTGTTTCTGTTCCAGATGCTGGTCACCTACTCAAGGATGTCTTCTGATTTCATCTGTTTGGAGTACCATTTTTTTTCACGTCTATGTGTATGTATATATTATTGTGTTTAGGGGGCTTTAAAAATATCAAAATAGACAGCTGAAACATTTTAATGGAGATTTCCTTTCAATTTACGAGTATAACTTTATCCTACTGTTATTTACCCTACATAATGAGGGGCAGTATGATGCATGGAAACATTGCTGAACATTCAAGCCAAGGTCATTGTATTTCTCACCTAAAATACTTTCCATCTTTTATGATGAAAATACTTATAATTCTTTCTTGTAGAGTTTTTACAATGTAAAATACCTCATGGAACTTATTTTTGCTTAGTACTCTTTCAGAAAACTTTCCATATCCATCTCTTATCCACAATGTTCCCATGGAAACCACTGTCTTCCTATTAGTCTTTGTGATATCAATCAACTTCTTAGTGTTGAAATATGAGTGAAATCACACAGTATTTGTCTTCCTCTTCCTGTCTAGTGGGTGTTAACTTTTCCACCTGCTGTGTTTGTTTTTTAAAAATTAAATAGTTTCATTTTTAATGGCCAAATAACAATGCATGATGTGTATTAGTGTTAAAGTTAGCCATTTATTATTGACATTTACATGGAGAGTACATAGGACAGAGACTAGAAAATAAAACTAACAGAGAATTTCTGTGTACATGGCCTATCTCTTTAAAAATATACTGAAAAATGAAACTGTTATCATGCTGAAATATATTTTACTACAGTTTGAATGTTTTGGTGATATTAACTAAAATTTCAGATATTTTCAACAATGTCCTTAAAGTTAAAATGCATGTGTCATATGATTTAGATGATACTGTTCTAAAATGTTATATTGCCAAGAATGTTTTTTTTGTAATAGTGTATGATATGTATGGTAAAACATGAAAAAAAACCCAATCATGTATTATAAAAACACTGAAGTTTTAATTCACTCTGTCAGTTTTTATACAGTTATGATTCATTATGCATGTCTCAGAAAATCAGTAATTGATATATGTAGCTAGGTGGCAGATTAACATGTAAGACTGATGATCTGTCTTCCTCACTTCCTCTCCTGTAGCAGGAATCTTAAAAGTTCTTTTTAATAAAATCAAACCAGGGGCCAGTTATTGAGGTGAAATGCTGGATGGTGAGAGAGACAGAATAAGCCACAGTTATCTCACCTCACCGGATCCTCAGCTGGTCTTGTTTCCTCAAACTGGATGCCTCTGAGTCATCATCCAGAATGGGTCTCAGCTGAACGGCTGCTCAAAAGCCTGAATGTTTAACCAGGCCAAATGCTTCTAGTTTCTGGTCCTCACGCCTTATATACCTTTCTGCTTTCTACTACCACTCCCTGGGATTAAAGGTTTGCTTTCTGGGATTAAAGGCGTGATGAGTCACCATGCCTGTCTGTATCCTTGAACACATGGATTTCTGCCTCTGGAATGCTAGGATTAAAGGCATGTGCTACCACTACCTATCCTTTATGTTTAATATTGTGGCTGCTTTGTCTCTGGCCCCAGATAAGTTTATTAGTATGCACAATATTTTGGGGGAATACAATACCACACTCCCCTGCAGTGTGTGTGTGTGTGTGTGTGTGTGTGTGTGTGTGTGTGTGTGTGTTGTATGTGAAAGATTCAGTGTTCTGTGTCCTTTGGAAGTTCACACAGAAACTTCAGTTGTATGGTCTCACCAGCTCTTCACATAAGTGAACTGTGAGAGATTTTTGAGTCTTCACGTTAAGCACCTACGAAAGAACATGTTTAGGGAAGGTGTGATAAAAGGTCCTCTGCTG